CATAGCACAACCAGAAGGACCTACAACTAGCATATACAACATGTACTGGGGGAGTTCGGGGAGGAGAAGAAGGAAAAAAAGGAAGATTGGCAACAGATGTTAGCTCAGGTGCCAATCTTTAAAAAAAAAGACTTGTAGAACCTATTAAGTAGCTTCCTTTACAAATAAGGACTCAGACCTAGCAGTTAGAGTTCTGGATGAAATCAAGGGTAATCAAGAAATAAATTTGGAAAACTTGAATAGAATCCATCTCTAATAGGCAAGTATTTTTAAGTGTCTGAGGATGATATAAATATAAAATGCAAAACAAACAGGAATAAACCCTGCCCCTCCCCGCCCCCCCCCGCCCCCCCCTCCCCCGCCATGAAGTTCAGATGTTTGGCTTTACCAGATAACTGGATCAGAGTGTAAAGTGTACCTCCTGGCCAGGCCGTTCACTCCTAGCCCACTGCACTGGCCTCCTCCTTACGTGTGCTGCCATCCTCCCCTGATCTCCTGAGCTCCGGAGCACTTCCTAAACGCTGGATGTCCCAAAGGTGCCTCCCGCCCCACGCGTTAACTCTGGCCGTCTGCAGGGCAGCCCCTTCCTCTGCCCAGCCCCTCCTCTGTTCCTCCATCAGCGAAGGACATCCACGTCCGCAGTGCTGCCGGCACAATACCAATCTTGCTGCCCACAATTCAAGCGCTAGCCCACAATGTCCTGCTTCCCGCTCCTCTCACCGGCTCTGTTCGCGGGTTCTCATCTCCATGAATGGTGCTGCCTTCTACCTGTTTATCTCGTCAGCTGCACTTAGCTACCTCCTTCCTCACTGTCCCCTCAGTAGAATATAGGTTCCCTGAGAATGGAGCCCGTGTCCTATAGTTTTATCCTCACCACTAAGGAGGGACTGGATAGAATGTGAATGAGTTGCCTTTTGAAATTCATTTGTCACCAGAGAGTTGGCCTCTTCCTTCATACTCTGCAGCTGTGTTCTGGCCTCAGCTGCTGTCACTGCTGGCTGGTGCCCCTGCCCAGCCTCTCCTGCCCCCACTGCGCCTCCTCTGCCTTGGGTCCAGATGGCCCTCAGAAGGGAGCAGTTCCCAATAGGTCTCTGCTTTACCTCAAATGCCAAACTTAGAAGTATTATCGTGAAGACTAAATGAAGTAATGCACAGAAAGGGCTTAAAAGACTGCCTGGCACACAGTAAGAGGCGAAGAAATATTACCTATAGTTATTATTTTTATCTCTGTCCCTTCTAGGATAGAGAGAAACTCCTCAGTGTGGCATCAAGGCTTTTTGAAAATCTGATCCTAGCGGTTTTTTTTAAAGCTTCATTTGCTTCCCTCCATGTCCCCTTTTTCAGCCACTCTGAACTGCTCATTGGGCCAATCACTTTCCTTCTATGTATCTTGGTCCAAAGATTATTCTAAGTAGTAACGTAGTCCCCCCTTATTCGTGATTTCACTTTCTGTGGGTTTCAGTTACCTGCAGTCCAAAAATATTAAATGGAAATTCCAGAAATAAACAATTCATAAGTTTTAAACTGCACAGCATTCTGAGTAGCAATGATGACATCTCACACAGTCCCGCTCCATCCCTCCTGGATGGGAATCATTCCTTTGACCAGCAGATCCATGCTGTACATGCTACCTACCTGTTAGTCACTTAGTAGGCATCTCAGTTATCAGATCGACTGTTGTGGTATCACAGTGCTTGTGTTAAAGTAACCCTTATTTTATTTAATAATGCCCCAAGGCACAAGAGTAGTGATGCGGGCAACTCTGATGTGCCAAAGCAAAGCTGTAAAGTGCTTTCTGTAAGTGAAAAGGTGAAAGTTGTCAACTTAATAAGTAAGGGAAAAAAATCATATGTTGAGGTTGCCAAGATCTTCAGTAACATTTATTACAGTATATTGTTATAATTGTTCTATTTTTATTATTAGTTATTACTGTTAATCTCTTACTGTGCCTAATTTATAAATTAAATTTTATTATAGATATGTACCTGTAGGAAAAAAACAGTATATGTAGGGTTCAGTATTATCCCCAGTTTCAGGCATCACTGGGGGTCTCGGAATGTTTCCCTCGAGGATAAGGGGGGACTACTGTACAATATTATAATTTTGTATATTCCATGTAATCTAGAAGCAAGTGAGTATGGTTGGAGTCATAAAGAAGACAATATTCTGCACTATTGAGACTTTGCCAAGGATCAAGCCTTCCAAATATCCTGGTGGGGTCATTTACTTTTTCAATTTTCTTTGCTTCTGGATTATACCCCCTGCTTATCCTTTTTGTTTTCCATCTTGTCCTCTTTCTTTGATTCCTTTCTTTTTCTATTATTATAGCTCCTCAAGTAATTATTTTGTCATATAGGCCAAATGGAAGGTAAAATTTCTGAGTTCTGAAATTTTGGAAAATGTCCCGTTTTGCCTTCTCATTTGATAGTTAATGGAATTGAAAAAGATTTCCACTCCCCTTGCCCACTGAACTTTGAAAACATTGGTTTACCAGCCTCTAACTTTGTTAATACAGTGTCCCTCTGACTCATTACATTTTGTAGCTAAGTTTTTATTCTTTCTCAGACGTTTTCTTGTTTCTTCTTAGCATTGGGAATGTTACTGGATGTCTCTGGATGTGTATCAGACTTCATCACGTTTAGCGCTTAGTGGAGCCTTTAAATCTTTGGCCTGGGAAAATTTTAATATATAAATATTATAGAAATAAACATATTCATAATTTATATATGTTTTATAAAATTATATGTAAATTTATATACATATTATATACATTTATTTTATATATATTAAAATTCAAAAGGAAAGGCCAGATATCTGTATCTTCCTCTCTTCCATGTTATCTGGACTTCCCCTTTGAATTCCTATTAGACAGATATTTGACTTTCTGGATCTGTCTTCTGTGTCGCAACATTCTCTTGTATTTTCTGTTTGCTTTTTGCCATTCATTTTAGGAGATTTCCTTATTATCCAGATCAACATCCATGCTTTTATGCACATGCAAAGTATTATCCAGCCCATCCCACAGTGTATTTTCATTAATCATATTTTTAATTTCTAAAAATACTCTCTTGTTCTATGATTGCTTCTTTTTCATGTTTTATGGCTCTAGCAGTCCCTCAGAGCATACTAATTAGCGTTTTTAAAGATATGTTTTCTGTTGCCTGCATATCTCTCTTCTTTTGGTTCAGTTTTTCTGCTGTTCTTTCTGGGTTTTGTTTTTACCTGCTGCTTTTTTTCTATACCTAGAGACCTGAGGTTGTTTATTCAACTTTTTGCTAAGGGCTGCGTGCTTGACGCGGATGCCGGCACTACTTCCTCTGCGGTTGCGTGCTTCCCTTCTCCAGGCCGTCCTCTTTCTTGAATGGCGTTCTGGTGGGTGGGTGTGCCCTGGGGTGCCTTCCAGACAGGGCCGGCGTTCTAGCAGCCACAGAGCATTCCACTTCGTTCCTTCTGCTCCGCCTCTCCTCCGGGGTCCCAGAATCTCTCTTGGCAGATACTTACTTTCTGTAACGTGGCTTCAATCTGAAGGAGAAGCCTTTTGGACAGCCATTCTGATCGGGACTGGGAGGGGCTCCCGTGATCTAGCCGTGTGGGAGGGGCTTCCCTAGGAGGCCCGCCTTATCTCTGGGGTTTCAGCTCCTGGTTCCTTTAAGAGCTGACCCCATCCGCTTTCTCTCTTGCAGGTATTCCTCAAATTTCTGGCTCCTAAGGGTGTCCTGTATTCTTTTTCCATGTTAGGGCTTTATTCTTTTGGTTGTGGTTTTGTTTTTGTTTTAAGTTTTGGTCATTTCAGTAGGAATCTGGGAGAGAAGGTAGGCAGACCTGTATGCTCCACCTGTTATCCTCAGCCGGAAACTAGAAACGTTTCTGAACCTTTGAATTTGGGAGGAAAGTATTAAAAACTCTCAAGTTTTTTTTTTTTTTAAATCACTTTTTGATTGTCTTGTGGTGTTTGTTTTTTTAAATGTAGTTATGAGTATCCCTAAAATAAAATGTGGTAGCAATATCGGACAAAGTGGGTGGTAGAATTTTTGCAAAACTCTTGCTGATGTTTGCTGTACAAGCAGTTGTGTACTAGCACTCCAGATGTTTATATCCTTGCCTCTACTTTGCCATGTGCTAACTCAGCGATTCAAAACAGGAGTGTTTAGATTCCTAGAATCCCTTGGTATTAATAAATCCTTTAATTGAGGAGTTTGTTATGGCTTGCTTACTTTTCATGAATTTCATTTATTCTTCAGCTTTAGAGCCAGTTTAGGAGTACCTGAACATAGTTATGTTCATTTCAAGTTCAGAGCCACTATTAAAGGAGCAACTGATTTTCTTGCTGAAGTTTAATTAACCTATTTTGAACATAAAATTTTTGTTTAACATCCCTTTTGACACTTTGACCAAATATTAGTGCCTTGTTCTCAAAACAGTATCAGTGTTTGGGGTAAGGTAAGGTAAAGTACACAACATATTATTCCACTGAAAAGAGAAAAAGCAGTTAAAAAATCATTAAGTGTATATAATATTTGTAACTTGGGAAAGCATAAAAAGGTAGCAAAATGAAAAAGAGTTTTTGAAAATCTAATTTAGTTCATTCCTGTGGTGTATTTCACATACATGTAATTTGTGCCAAGCACATGGGGTGAGTGGGGCAGGGGGAGCACAGACCCGCTCTCCCCCTTCGCCTCTCCTCCCTGGCTCTGATCCTGACTGCTCGTTCCCAGCTAGCGCTGCTGCCCTGCAAGTTCCTGTCAGAGGGCAGCAGGGGCATTTCCGGTCAGGCTGCGCCTGTATCAGGTCCTCCAGCCACCTTTGGCTCTGCCTGCGTATTTTAAATATTCATGATAACCCAGTCTAAATTAGTAAACAAAACAATAGTTTAAAAAATAATACTGCAAGTACTATTTTTGACTTCCATTGTATCAGGTGAAAACAGGAAGATTCAGAAAAGTACTTTCTGAATTGTAACCATTATATATGTGTGTTTCTTATCCCCTTTCTTCACCCAGAAAAGGATTATAGTAATCTTTGTGACAGGCAGCCCATAGGAAGACTTCTCTTCAGGCAATTCTGTGATACAAAACGTCATCTAAAGTGGTGCATTGAATTCCTGGATGCAGTGGTAAGCGATTTACCTCAGTTTTAAACCACCCAATCTTGTGCTTTTCAAAATTAAAAACTAAAATGAGATCTCTCTGAGTTAATTAGACCTTGGCAATGATGTAAGAGTGGATAAATGAGTTGTCTCGGTGTCGCGTTATCTTCTTGGTACAGAAATACCTGTAGTATAAGGTGGTAGTTCGTGTAGAATTACATCTCAAGTGCTGGAGAGTCACAGGTACTTACTGAATAACTTTGAAACATGCTGCTTGAATCTGTAGGAAGGTTGAACAGCTAATTAACACAATGTGCCTGTTCAACTGCCTACAAAGTATCCTTCCTGCCTTCATGTAGCAGATGCTGTATGCTTCAAACAGTAGCCCAGAAGCACATGGAAGGAATAGTTAGTGTAAGAAGAGTGAGCACGCGGAATGGAATCCAGTAGGATTTCTGCGTTTTCCAACATTCACATGTATCCTGCGTGACGTTTACTGTGATTTCCTTATAGCTAGAAAAATTTTGTGTTTCTAAATCTTTAGAGACTACTGGCAAGTGTAGAAGTTTCAAAACTATGAAATTCAGAAGCAACCTAACCGTAGAAAACAGAAAAGTCTTTTACTTTTTGTTATTTGTACCAAGATTATGACACTTCCTCTCTCTTCTTTGGCCTGTCCTGGCTCTGTCAGCAAATATGTATTGACTACTTATTATATGCAAAGTACCATCTCATATCATTGAGTTTTTATTCAATTTTTTTGGTCATAGATTTTTTAAAGTATATATTTATAATATATTCTGTCAGAAAAGCATTTGAGGCTCTTGCCTGTTTTGTTGTTTGCTTTCTTCTCCCTGGACCTCCCCCAGCCCTTTCCTTCCTGGTAGCTTTACTAGAATAAGACAAGACTTTGAAAGGAGGCAATTATTCTTTTAAAGATAGACTCTGGTTCAGTGGGGCATGCCTTCTCAGTTCCATGGGGTACGGTGCAGGTATGTTTTAGTGGATTGGGTTATATTTGCCAAGCTGCTGTATTTTAAGAATTTAAGGACCTACAATTCTTTATTTTAAAATGGCTAAACTACATTGTCAAGACTCTTTTAGATTTAGATCTTCCGATGTTGTCGTGATACCTGTTAGTTATTCGGTGACAGCCAATTGACGCAGTGACGGGTTTTGTGTTTTGGTGGTAGCTGTGTGGGTTAGTAAGTGATGCCTCATGATGTCATGTACGCAGCACTTACTGCTCTGACTATACTTGTGGGAGGTGATTACAGGTTCTTTGAGCTTCTCGAGTGGAAAGACTGCATCTTATCCATTTCCCCTTCATGGCATCTGGCATGGTTGTTTACTCTGTTCCCTGCTTAGTGTTTGTGAATGAATAATGGCGTCTGTATCAGTCAGGATTCAAGGAGAGAATAAAACCAGTAGGAGATATATATTTAGAGATTTACTTCAAGGAATTGGCTCACATGATTTCTGGCTAGGAAAGTCTGAAATCTGTAGGGTGGACAACCAGGAGGGACAGAACGGAACTCTCCAGAAATGGGGTAAAGCTGCTGTCCTCAGGGAGAATTCTTTGAGGAAGCCTCAGCTCTGCTTTTAAAGACTTTCAGCTGATTGAATCAGGCTCACCCAGATTGTCTAGGATAACCTCCTTATTTAAAGTCAACTGTTAGAGACTTTAATGACATCTGCAAATACCATCACAGCAACAGTAGACCAGTGTTCGAATAACTGGAGATTGTTGCCTGCCAAGTTGGCACATCATAAGACCATCACAGAGTCACAGTGCTTTCTTTTCCATTAATTACATGCCATATGGTTTCCAGAACTCCTAGAAATTAAGTTTAAAGTTTGAGTAAATAGTGTGCTAGTCACTAGTCATGGTGAGTACAATGCCTTTGAATACAGAACGTGAAGCTAGCTCTGACCAGGTTGTCAGCCCAATGATCATGGCCCCATGTGCTGGGCCTGTGAAAGATGCAGAATGAAGTCTGAGGTTGGGTTCCTACCTACAAGGACATTGTCTTTGAGTACTTTTTAACGTGTTCAGTAGATCACTTTCCTTTGGGCTTCATTTCCTCACTTCTCCCTTCAAGTCCATTGGGTTTTAGCTTCACTACTCTTCTACGGCCCCTGCTTGCAAAATCCAGTGGCTTCCTAGAGGCATCCTTGTGCTTGAGCCTCCGTGTCTATTAACATTGTTGAGTAGTCTCTTGAAATTCTCTTCTCTAGGCTTTTGCGATCTCACCTCCGGTTTTCTTTTTCTCTTATCTTTCTTTTCCACTTCTTCTTTCTTGCTTCTCCTTTATAGACATTTACTATTTATTAGTCAGGTTCTGCTTTTGATCCTTCCTATGTTTTCTGGCCTGTGTGGAACTCTCCACTCTTACGCCTCTCACCTGACACCTGTGTGTGGATGACTCCTGCTTTGGTGTCACCAGCTCTGACTTCTCTGGGAGCCCTGTGTTCAGGTTTCCAAGTGCCTCTTGGACCTTTCTAAAATGCTTTTGCCTAGAACAGCCCAAGCTGTTTATTTCATTCCGTTTTATTTGGCCACATTTAATGGCTGAAAATATAATGTGACATAGAGAACATTATGGAATATGTTGCTCTACTAATGAACCCCTTAAGAGAACCAACTGATTTTTCCCCTCTTAGCCATTAATTTCCCAAAGAAGAACTGCAGATGCTTGATCGATAAAGCTGTTCTCTGGTTCTTAGGGGACTAAGTCAGTTCCATAAGTTAGAGAATTTGAAACATTATGAAGTCAGTGTAGAAGCTTAACTAACATTTTTCTTTTCTCTCATCTCTGCAATCAGACAGAATATGAAGTGGCTGCTGATGAGGACCGAAGAAATTGTGGACTGTTAGTCTTAGAAAGATTCTTCAGTAGTGAGGTATATTTTCTTTACTAGATATAAAGATTTGTAAATAACTTAAATAATTAGAGTGCATAGCCATTTTTACTTAATTGGATAAGATATAACAAATGTGTTAAAATCTTTAATTTCTTATAAATGTCCTCTTCTGCATTTTATTTTGATTTAGTGAGGAAACTAACAATTACATCTCTTAGAAAATTGATTCAAAGAATTTAAAAGTTTCTGTGTTTCCTCAAACAGAATATAGACCTAGAGAATTTTATTTGCCTCTCTTGGACTGAAAATAACATTTTTCTCCTACAGCTCTAAGGGGTATTAGTTTTTATGCTTTTTGAATTGCTAGGTTCTTGTAGTTTAGTAAGTCCCTGAAGTTAGAGCTGTAACCTGCTTGCCTTCATATGACTTTCTTTTTGTAGACCAGTAAGAGTCCTAAACCCTGGCCCGGTCCCTGTGTTGTAGGGTGGGAGGAGAATACTGGCAACAGTGAGAGCTAACATTTAGTGAATACTGCTCTAAGCCTTGTGCATGTAATAAGTTATTTAATGTTCACAACAAAACCATGAGGTAGGTACATTATTATGTCTGATTTCATATGATAATACTGAAAATCAGAGTGATTAAGTGACTTACTGAAGGTTACACAGCTAGAGAGTACTGGGGCCAGGTATCAAACATGTATAGACTGGCGTTGAAGAATAGTGTGGTGGAGAAGTAGTGCAAAATATTCCGATTTTGAGCCTACCTAGCTGAAGATGATAGGGCCAACTCATTGATAGGGCAAACTCATTGGTGCAAAAATAGAGTGCCAGAGGGAAAGGCCAGTGGACCATCTAGCAGGCGCAAAGATATACACACAGCCAGCGGGTGGCAGAGATGTTATTCACACCCAAATAGGTTTTGACTCCAAAGTTTGTGTCTACCCCAGCCTCCAGCCTCAAGACCTTGGCTCATAGATCATTATTTTCAAACACAGCATCTACATATTGTAAGTACCACCAGGACACTAATTGGGAGGAGTAGAAACTTCTAGGGAGTAGAAACTTTTGAGGAGAAAACTTTGTTCCCTCCCCAAAAGACTGTCATCATTTGTCTAGTTCTTTTATCTTTTTAATCTCTTTTTTCCTTCTTCTTTCCTGAAGAAATACTCACATAGCAAGAGAGGTTGTCCAGAAGAAAGATATAATCTAAAAAGTAATCACATGGGGGCCAGCCCTGTGGCCTAGTGGTTAAGTTTGGCGCACTCTGCTTCAGTGGCCCGGGTTCAGTTCCCAGGCAGAGACTTACACCACTCATCAGTGGCCATGCTGTGGCAGCGACTCACATATCAAATAGAGGAAAATTGGCACAGATGTTAGCTCAGAAACAATCTTCCTTGGTAAAAAAAAAAAAAAAAAAAGTAATCATAGTACCTATAGCAAATGTAGACAGGGAAGGGAGGGGCAGAAGGGACATCTATCTGTGGCTCAGTAATAGTGAAAGATGCTTATGGGCTGCCAAAGATCGAGTAACTTGAAAGGTTTTTTTCTCCCTACCATCAAGTGAGGAAACTAGCTTTGTACTTTACAAAAAAATTAACAATGGTCACATCATCATTGTAGTTTTTCTTTTTTTGGCCTTTCTTTAATACCAACAACCAAAATCTCTTTCTATTGCATACTGAAAAGGGAACTCTTCTACAATTTCAACAATCCAGAATACCTAAGGCACCTAAAAGTAAGGCAAGACTGTATATGTTCATTCTTGCATTTCTTTATCCTTTCACTCAGCTCATTCTTAGTTTTTCTTAGTTTTCTAGTTTCCATGATTCTCAAATTTTAAAATTCAGCAAAATTTTGTTTACAATTAAAAAAAAATTATGACCAAAACCAAGTGGGATTTATCCTAGGAATGTAAAGTTGGTTCAGTATCCAGTGATCAATTGCTATAATACATCATATTAATAAAGGACAAAAAACCCCACCCATGGTCATCATGGTAAAGGCAAAAAACCATTGGATAAAGTCCAAAGAATCCTTCATAATAAAAGCACTCCACAAATTAGGAATGAAATGGACCTTACTCAACCTGATCAAGGACATATATGAAACACTTACAGCTAGCATCTTGCTTAAATGTGAAAGGTCAGATGCTCTCCCCCTAGGGTTAGGAACAGGACAAAGATGTTTACTCTCATCATCTTGGCGTTGTACTGTAAGTTCCAGCAGGGGAGTTAGTTAAGGAAAGTGAACACATGTGTCCAGATTGGAAAGGAAAAAGTAAAGCTGTCTGCTTGCTGAGGCCGTGGTCTCGCTGCCTTAGTCTATTCAGGGCTCTATGACCAATGCCACAGACGAGGCAGCTGTAAACAACAGACATTTATTCCTTGCAGTTCTGGAGGCCGTGGTCTCGCTGCCTTAGTCTATTCAGGGCGCTATGACCAATGCCACAGACAAGGCAGCTGTAAACAACAGACATTTATTTATTCCTTGTAGTTCTGGAGGCTGTGGTCTCGCTGTCTGAGTCTATTCAGGGCGCTGTGACCAATGCCACAGACGAGGCAGCTGTAAACAACAGACATTTATTCCTTGCAGTTCTGGAGGCCGTGAAGTCCAAGATCAGGGTGCCAACATGGTCGCCTTCTGACCCTCTTCCTGGTTCAAAGCTGCTACCTTCTCGCTGTATCCGCATGTGGTGGAAGAGACTAGGCAGCTCTCTGGAGCCTCTTTTAGAAGGGCTCTTATCTCAGTCATGAGGGCTCCATCCTCATGATGTAAGCACCTCCCAAAGGCCCTACCTCCTAATATTGTCACTTTGGGGGTTAGGATTTCAACATATGAATTTGAGGGGGACACATTCAGACCATAGCACTTGTATATAGAAAACTCTAAGGTATCCTCACACACATTAGGAACAAAGCTACTAGAGCTAATAAATGAGTTCAGCAAGGTTGCAGGTTACTGGATTACTATACAAAATTCAATTGCAATTCTATACACTAGCAATCAAATTCCAAAAATGAAATTAAGAAAGCAACAACATTAACAATAGCATCAAAAAGAAATAGTTAGGGGTGTGACGTCAGCATCATGGTGGAGTGAGCTTTCCTGGTAATCTCTTCCCTCCACCATACAATGAAAAAGACATTAATACTCCAACAGAGGACCTCCAAACACAACACAAAAGATGTCTGAGAGACCCACACAGTCATACGATAGAGGGTGGAGAGACTGGAGCCCCCCTCAGGGGAGGTGGAAGAGGGTAAGAGAAAACTTCATTTCCTCCCCAAAAGACTGTGATCCAGGACCACATGTGGCCTCCAAGAGGGAAGGAATGAGGAGGGGACATTCGTTCACAGGAACATCAAAGATCCCCAAGGGCCCTCCTCACAGCCTAGGGGAAAGCCCCTACCAAGGTGAAAGCTAACATGGGGGTGACCACATCAACCCAACACCCCAGCAGAGCAGATAGTGAGGGCAGAGCAAGGAAACCCCAACAGCACACAGGAGAAAGCACCCCTCCCCGCCACCTGCCCACCGCTGGCTCCAGCACCTGGGATCCGGTGGAAGGTAGATGGCTCAGAATATGCAGCTCTTGACCCCCACCCAGTGGCTATAGGTGGTAACTGCAACCAAATAATACCATGATGAGCAAAAACAGAGCCACACCCTCTAGCAATATTAAAAATTATGTTAAATCTCCAGACCAGAAAGAAAATGAGAAGTACCCAGAAATCAGTACTGAGGACACAGAAATATGTAATCTAAGTGACAGAGGATTCAAAATAACTATCATAAAGAAACTCAACTAGTGAAAAGAGAATGTAGAGAAAAAATTCAACAAATTCAGGAGCTACTACAAAAGAGATTGAAACTATAAAGAAGAATCAATCAGAAATATTGGAGATGAAAGACAAAATGGATGAGATAAAACAAAATATAGATTCCCTGAACACTCAAGCAGACAACATAGAGGAGCATAATTGAGGCTAGACATATTGAAATGCTGCAGATAGAGGAGGAGAGAGAACTAAGACTAAAAAGAAATGAAGAATGTCTCCGAGAAATATCTGACTCAATTAGGAAATGCAACATAAGAATTATAGCTATTCAAGAGAGAGAAGAGAAGGAGAATGGAGCAGAAAGCTGGTTCAAAGAAATAATAGCAGAGAATTTCCTAACCCTAGGGGAGGAGATGGAAATCCATGTGGAAGATCTTCTAAATATGTCAGTGTAAAAAGACCTACTGCAAGGCGTATAGTAGTGAAACTGGAAAAGTGAATGGCAAAAAATACTAAGGGCTGTAAGGCAGAAGAAAATAACCTACAAAGGAACCCCGATCAGGCTTTCAGCAGATTTCTGTGTAGAAACCTTGCAGGCGAGGAGAGACTGGAATGACATATTCAAATCTTTGAAGGACAAAGACTTTCAGCCAAGAATACTCTATCCAGTGAAAATGTTTTTCAGATATGATGGAGAAATGAAAACTTTCCCAGATAAACAAAAGCTAAGGGAGTCCATAGCCAAAAGATCTCACCCCTCCCCCCACGATGAGAAATCCTCAAGAAGGCCCTCATATCTTAGAAAAAAGGGGGGGGGGGCGAGAAAGGGTTACAAAGCAGAGAGTAAGGAGATAAATAGGTAGACAAAATCAGAAAATTGTAGCTATACATCAGAAGAGGTTAGCAACTATTCAAGAATAGCATTAAAGATAAAGGGAAGGAAAACACCAGAAACAAAGATAATCTAGTCATTGTAATCAAAAACTCACAACACAAGATGGAATAAGATGTGAGAAAAACAACATAGCAGAATTGGAAAGGGACTGAATTGGTTTAGTCTAAGGAAATAAGAGGACATCAGAAAATGGACTACCTTATCTACAAGATTTTGAATACAAACCTCATGGTAACCACTAAACAAAAAAGCAGAACAGAGACACAAATAATAAATAAGGAGAAAACAAAGAAACACAACATAAAAAACTACATAACTCAATTGGTAGACCAAAATACACAGGACGAGAAACAAAGGAAATGC